GTTTGTTGGCACTATATCAAAACACAAACGCATCTTAAGTGTCTTAACAGTGAAACAATTTCTTATTTTCTAAGTTTTCGAATAAAACTTCACAGTTAAAATTAAGACATTTATAACAAACATTTTATGAAGAAAATCCCCGTTACGGCCTTATTTAGAGAAAATATATTCGTTTAAAATAAAAATAAGCGAAATCGGCCGAATTTTATATAGCCCCGCCTGACATGAAAATTTTCTCCACGATAAGGCTAGTAGCCATTTCTAACAGATTTTGGGTGGCTTAGTCAAAAATGGAAACATATATACATATTTGAAATTTAAGAAAACAAGGAAAATAGCAAAATCGGCTAAAAACGGCTAATTTTTTTCTGCAAAACGGCTAACAAATCGGCTGCTGGCTAAATCGAAATTTCTCCGGCTGTTTGCTATCGAAACCGGCTAAATCTAGCCGGAAAACGGCTAAAATGGCAACACTGGTCATGAAGAAAAATTGGGGCTATTTGAAAAAGGGACGTGGCACCTCCCATACAAACCGAATTTTTCACACTGCATATCTCTGGAAGTGTTCATGGTTGAGTATTGGAACTTGGTGTGGGGATATATATAATCAATGGCATTATCATGAACGAAAATTGCGGCTATTGGAATTAGAGGCGTGACACCTCCCATAAATACCCAATCTGACATACTGCATACTTCTCGAAGTGTTCATGGTAGAGCACTGGAACGTGGTATGGAGATATATGAAATCAACCGCATAGTCATGGGAAAGATTGATGTTTTTGGAAAAGGGGGCGTGGCATCTCCCATACAAACCGAATTTTTTATACTGCATATCTCTAGAAGTGTTCATGGGAAAGTACTCGAACATGGAATGGAAATATATGAAATCAATCGCATGGTCATGAAGAAAAATTGGGGCTTTTGTGGAAAGAAGGGCGTGGTATCTCCAATACAAACCCAATTTTTCATATTGCATACTTCCGGAAGTGTTCATGGTTGAGTACTCGAACTAGGCATGGAGATATATGAAATCAATCCCATGCTCTTAGAGAAAATTGAGGCTATTTGAAAAGGGGGCGTGTCGCCTTTCAAACGTGCTGAAACTACTACGTATCTTTGTATGTATATATAATTCTTCTGTACGTGTGTTTGTAAGTGAACCTATTTGAACGAAATTTTTTGTGTGTTTGAATGGGTCTTTGTATACTTAGATTCACATGGGCGTGGCATCTCCCATACAAACCGAATTTTTTATTCTGCATATCTCTGGAAGTGCTCATAGGAAAGTACTCGAACAGGTATGGAGATATATGAAATCAGTGGCATAGTCTTGAAGAAGGATTGAAACTATTGCAAAAAGGGTGTGGCATCTCCAATACAAACCCTATTTTTTATTCTGTATACTTCTGGAATTATTCATGGTAGAGTACTAGAACTTGGTATGTAGATATATGAAATAAATCACATACTCATTGAAAAATTTTTTTGTTTTTGAAAAAGAGGCGTGGGATCTCCCATACAAACAGAATTTTTTATACTGCATATCTCAAGAAGTGTTCATGGGAGGGTACTCGAACATGGTATGGAGATATATGAAATCAATCTCATGCTCATTAAGAAAAATTGCGGCTTTTGGAAAAAGGGACTTAGCATCTCCAATACAAACCCAATTTTTCATACTGCATAATTCTGGAAGTTTTCATGGTAGAGTACTCGTACTTAAGGCTATTTGAAAAGGGGGCGTGACGCCTTTCAAACGTACTGAAACTATTGCGTATCTTTCTATGTATACATGATTCTTCTGTACGTGGGTTTGTCAGTGAACCTATTTGAACGAAATTGAGGGGGCTGTGGATACTCAGAAAAAAAAAACATTCCTTGACGCTAGGGAAAAAGTATATTATTTTAAGGAAATATTACCTTAAAATGGCTCCAATGATATGGCTGCCTTAATATGAGTAAACGACTTGACTCAGTTTAAGGAAAACACAATTCCTTAGCTTTTAGGAAAAACTTACTTGCCATTTCATCCAGGGATGGATTTTCAAAATTTCAAAATGTGCCTAATGTTCTTAATGTTCTTCAAAAATAGTGCCGAAAAAAAGATGAGAGTGCCACAAAATTAAATTTCTTTTAAGGCGTTTTAAGAGCAATATAATTTTAGAGAAAATATTTTAAAAAAACACTGAAGTAATATAATAATTATTAATTAACTAAATTATTACAGTAAATCACTTTTATGAAGGATTCCTTAGACATATACATAAATTCATAGCAAAATTACACAGAATTCCAATTACGAATATTATGAAAATGTATGACAGCGTCAGAAAAAAAATCAAACATCTTTGGGATATTGCAGAAACTTGCACTTTTATTTAATGGACTATAAAACTGCAAACTTAGAATCTTTCTAAAAATTCTGAATTAAAAACTTGTTGTTGCGAAAACTGACTTTTCGTACTGCGTATTCACAATAGAATTCAGCGGTTTGTAAATATTTCTTACGGCCCTTATTTTAATTTTTTAGTGCTTTTAATTTTCACTTGTTGTAATTTTTTAATCTGTAATGTGGTATGTGATTTTTTGTTATATATTGGCATTTTATGCTAAATTTCTATATTTTATGATTGTGCCAGAACAGGATGAATTGTGTCAAAAATGCCTCTGAGAATGAAAAAGCCAAAAATGGCACCTTGTGCCTACTTTTCCATCACTGCTTTCATCTCGAGTGAAAGGAATAAGTATGTTATTTTGCTCGTAGCACTCAAACGGTGGCATGGGCTGACAGAGAAAAGCTCTGGAAGGCAAGTCGAGAGATGGAAGGTTCGAGTTCCAGAGCAGGAATTTGTTTTTGAATATTTTTTATTTATTTTTTTAATTGTAATTTTTTAAATTATTAAAAAAAATATTATTTATTTTTTCTGATATTTGAGATTTAGGTTCTTCCATATATGAAATTAATTTTACAATTTGTAATGTATATTTAAATTGAAATAATTGACTTACCATACTCTAACCACCCCAAACCGGACTCGAACCTGCGATCTCAGAACCAGAAGCAGTAGTCTTCACGCCACGCCACAGTCGACATTTTGCACGAAAGCAAAAACTTTGTTTTAACAGTACTGACAAAATTCAAAATTATTTAAGGAAATTATTACTTATATATGTGGAGGAAATTATTACTTACTTTGAGTAAATTTACTTCCTGAAATTGATGACGCCCTATTTTAAGCATGAACCTAAATTCAGGAAAAACATCTCAAATTGAGTAAATTTTTCGTAATATTAAGGAAAAGATAGTAGCTCTAAAATAAGGATACTGTTTCCTCGTTTTAAGGAAATGCTTTTTTCTGAGTGGATACTTAGATTCACAGTTTGACCCGCCGGGTGGCGCACAGTGGGGCAAAAATGGTTGCTGTGGACAAATCAATTTTGAGAGCCCATATATGAACCGATTTCAAGTTTCTTTCTTTTAAATAAAAGATAATTAAATTTCGTGTCGATCTATCCGTGGCGATTTTTTAAAATGGATCTAGTTTTTTATTTATTTATATTGAATATATCGAAATTGCTTTTGATCTATTATCATCCTTGGATAGTTTGGAGTCGATGCCCAAAATTTCAAAAATATCGGTACAGCTGTTTCCGAGTTTTTCGAACAGAAAAAACGAAAAAACGGCTTTAAAATATATGTGGCAACTCGGCTTCTGAATGTCACAAGAAGTGCAACCCTGTAGGAAGTTGCTAAGAACCTAATCGATGATAATCACCGCCATTTTGATATTCTTTTCTCTCTTCCTTTTTGGGACGTGTTCTGAGAAGCAGCTTCTTCTTTATACTTATCCATCAGCATCAACGAATCCAAGTAATTCCAGCATTTAAATTTGTTATTAGAGTTTGTAATACATTGTAAATAAACATCTTGCAAGATTATTAGTAAATTAATATAAGGCTTCTAAAGAGGTGACCCCAACGTGATCAGGAGGTTACGACACGCCTGCGTCTGGTCCTTCTGGAGTATCGTTTTCATATTTATCTGAGCATGAAATTGGAGAGGATGGAGGACGACGAAAGTTCAACTGATCAACCCAATCTGCATCAAAAGGTAAACGAGGCCTGAGTTGATGCAACAGCAGCTCCACGAATAAGTCCACCAAATATGACCGCAACTAACATTGAGTCGTATTTGTCGCTGGAATTTTGGTTTACAGCTTCAGGTATAACTCAAGACTTGAAAAAGTTTAACATAGTTATGGTTCAGGTCCCACCGAGCAGGTTGAAAGAGCTTCGATCAATCATCGACATGGTGCCCCAGCAAAATAGGTACGAGTATGTGAAGGCGAGGTTAACCTCACACTTTGCCGATAGCCAGCAAAGTGCGTTTGCAGCGGCTTCTGTCAGATATGCCTTTGGGCGATATGAAGCCTAGTCAACTTTATAACAAGATGCGTCGAGTCGCAGGCGATGCTCTGGGCGAAGCGGTGCAGTTGGATTTATGGGCCACACGTTTGCCGCCGCACGCACCAGCAGCAGTGATTGCAGTGAAAGGTGACGCCTTGGATAAAGGCGTGTTCGCGGACGCAATTGTAGAGTCAATGGGCCTTCGCACCGTAAGTTCAGTAGACAAACCTACCGCCACCGCGAGCCCCACTCACCAGTCAGGCCAGGAATCTTCGTCAGCCTTGGAGGCCATTCAGCAAGAAATCTCGCAGCTCTCGCGTCGTTTCGAATCATTGCAAACGCGTGGTTATGATCCGCGAAGACGTTCACGTTCAGGAGGCCGCCTCGACTCACCGCGACGACGAACTGAGAGCAACTCGCCCAACGAAAGCTGCTGGTATCACCGGGAGTTTAGAGCCAATGCGCGCAAGTGTGGTTACGTAAGGAAGAATTCAGGTCAATGACATTGCCCGGCTGAACCTGCAACCAGTACAGGCAAACAGCTGGGAGCAGCCCTTTTCCGCCTTAAGGTATCAGACACTACAACTAATATGCAATTCTTAATAGACACCGGCGCCGATGTGTCTGTGATACCAAAAGGCTCACGTTCAGTCAACCATAAACCAACTACTATGAAACTGTTTGCCGCAAATGGCACCTCAATTAATGTGTACAGAGAAGCTATATTGAAAGTTAATCTGTGCTTACGCCGCGAGTTTGTGTGGACGTTCCTGATCGCCGACGTTACTTCTGGAATAATAGGCGCAGACTTTATCAGGCATTTCGAACTACTCATAGATTTAAAAAGGAATCGAATCATTGATAATAGCACGTCTCTGAAATCCGTGGCCCAGGCAGTTAAGGGTACAGACCCATCAATCAAGTCATTCGACACCTCGTCTCCGTTCGCGGATTTATTAGGTGAATTTGCAGAAATAACACGACGTGCACAGCCCGGCGTTATGACAAATTCTTCGGTGGTGCATTACATTGAGACTCGCGGCCAACCCGTCTTCGCTCGTCCCCGACGCCTGTCGGCGGATAAACTACAAGCAGCGCGCACTGAGTTTGAAAGCCTAATGAGACTAGGTGTATGTAGACCATGCACATGGTGCGGAAGGCAGATGGCACATGGCGCCCCTTCGGAGACTACAGGGCATTAAATGCCATCACAGTACCGAATAGGTACCCGATACCTTATTTGCAGGATTTTACCAATATTTTTCGAGGTAAGACAATATTCTCCAAAGTCGATTTGCAAAAAGCCTTTCACCAGGTGCTGGTGTACCCGGATGATATACCCAAGACTGCAATCTCCACACCCTTCGGTTTATTCGAATTTGTCTACATGACCTTTGGTTTGCGCAGTGCGGCGCTAACTTTTCAACGGCTTATACTCGAAGTTATATGGATGACATCTGTATCGCGTCAACAAGGCCAGCTGAACATCGCATCTCCGTCAGCTCTTTGAAAAACTTAAGAAATATAATTTAGCTATCAACGTGTCAAAGTCAGAGTTCGATCGTAACCAAATAACCTTCCTCGGGCATTTAGTGTCATCCCAAGGTATTCGCCCCCGCATCTCGTCCTTGGAAGTTACGCATATCAACTACAACGAATTGGCGGTAGACCAGAAAGCAGATGGAGAATTACAGCAGCTGCTTCACGATACTTCGAAAAGCTCCCTTAAGCTGAAACTGAAAACCACTCCTTACCACCCACAGTCCAACGGGTTGGTAGAGAGATGGCATAGAACAATGAAAGCAGCAATATTGTGCCATAACCACGAGCGGTGGTTTGAATATTTACCGACCATTTTGTTGAGTCTGCGTACGACGTACAAGCCTGATATTCAAGCATCCCCTGCAGAGCTGGTGTACGGGGCTACTCTTCGCATTCCTTCAGAGTTCTTTGTCGACAATGCAACAAATAGCACGGAATCAGAAGTTGTGGTTGAACTGTGAAATTCTATGCGACAGGTAAGGGCACCTGACACAGCGTGGCATACGAGAGGCAAAGTGTTCATACATCCTGACTTGAGAAATTGTAAGAATGTATTCGTCAGGGACGATTCAATTATACCATCCTTATCACACCCGTACACCGGCCCTTACAAAGTTGTAGATAGGTCAGACAAGCACTTCAAAATCAACGTCAACGGCAGGGAAACATCCATCTCAATCGACCGTCTGAAGTCGGCGTACATCTTAAAGGACGACGAGCCGTTGCAACTACCTGAAGCCGATTATGCTCGGAATGTGTTACCAGAGCCCCCAATGGCGTCTAGTAAGTTCAATCATCCAAAACGACATGTTGCTATTCCAGCTCACTATCGTTGAACCTGCGGTGGACTTAGGGGGAGTACTGTGGCAACTCGGCTTCTGAATGTCACAAGAAGTGCAACCCTGTAGGAAGTTGCTAAGAACCCAATCGAAGATAATCACCGCCATTTCGATATTCTTTTCTCTCTTCCTTTTTGGGACGTATTCTGAGCAGCAGCTTCATCTTTATACTTATCCATCTGCATCAACGAATGTTATTAGAGTTTGTAATATATTTTAAATAAACATCTTGCAAGATTATTAGTAAATTAATATACGGCTTCTAAATATATATTAGTATAAATGACAAATGCAATATATTTTTAAATAAAATCTATCCTATGGAAACATTTTTATGAATAATTTTTTAAATAATTGCAGACATTTGAGATTAATTTCAAGAATTTTGCAAAAAAGTAAAAGCATTCAAACGTATATCTTTTTTTTCTTTCACTTTTGAACATAAATAAATAAAAAATTGCCACGGATAGGTAAACGCGATTTTTAATTATCTTTTATTTAAAAAAAGAAACTTGAAATCGGTTCATATTTGGGCTCTCAAAATTAATTTGTCCACAGCAACTTTTTTTGCCCCACTGTGTGGCGCTGGAGCCGAGGTATTACTAAAAATTGCCAAGTGAGAAAAAGTGCCGTGAATATCCGATTCCATCGACGTGCTTCACCGCCGATTATGTCGAGCTCCCTTGTATTCTTATTGGCCCAATTGACGTGAATATTACTGTGGGTTAAAGCTTCATTCTGAGACACCAGGATTACGTTGTCCAGGAGTCAATCTCAAATGACCTTAAAGGTAGACAACCGTAAGAACCATTGCGCTCCTTAATAAGACATTTAAGGTATTTCGTCTGAATTAAGACTATGCATATTGAATTTCGGGAAATGTTTAGTTATTGGCCCATCGTTTTTGGGGTAAGGGGCGGAGGGGGAGGGGGCGTGGCCCCCCAAACCCCCCTCATTCGAAAGGGGCCAGTCGCCACTTTACGAAAAGCCCCCCCCTTGGGGACCCCCCACAGACCCCTAGGGAACCGTTTGAAAATGGGGTAAAAACGGCATTTTCCGAGGCAAACTGAGCAGTTTGAAGTGGAATATAACCCAACTAACAGAATCTGTGGGGTTTTTAAATAAAAGAAGTTATCCCAAGGTGGTTATCAGGCGAAAAAAGGAGGGCTAAACACCTTTCGCAGAGAACACCTTTGTGCGTAGGCGGCCTTCCGCCGCACTTAGGGATTATAACCCTCAGGCAGTAGAATTCTCCTTTCTGTGTAGCCAAAGAAGGGGGGCTGAACACCTTTTGCAGAGAACACCTTTCTGCGTAGGCGGCCTTCGGCCGCACTTAGGGATTATAACCCTCAGGCAGTAGAATTCAGCCCCCCTTCTTTGGCACCAAACCGTAATATTAGCAGATAAATGCATCACTGGAAATCGTTAACGCGAATTTTTGGTAAAAATGTTGGACCAAAATGTTTCAATAAAAAACAATTATTTTGGGAGGGACGAAGTTCGCCGGATCTGCTAGTCATAATATATTTGCGTAGAACTTTTTTAACTATCACTAAATTCTTAAAACTCAACAGCAGATCGTAATAATAATAATATGTACATCAAACTAAAGTTAATAACCTGTACTTTCTAAATAATATAAATTTCGTTAGCATTAATTATGCAATTTTTTCAAAAAGGTTGTTTTATGAAAAATACTAGTTTTTTTAATGTTTTAGTATTAAATTAGTATTAGATTAAAAATATAAACAAAAGCATATACATTATATACTTCACCTGAAAGATAAGTTAATTGTCTTTATTTTTACATCAATAATTTTTTAATCGGTTATGCAGTTCATAAGATATTAATATTTGATATAATCACAACATTTTAATTTAACAATTTATGTATTTATATCTTATTTATATTTTTTCGCCAAATAGTTTGGTACACTTGAATTCAGCTTGAGAAGTTCGATCGAGCCATGTTTTTGGTTTTTGCATAGCCAAGTGGTTCATATTCTAGACATATGAAAAAACGTTTGCTGTGAACAATATTTTTAGACACAAGCGCACTTGTGCACAAGGGTATTATAACTTTGTTCACATAACGGTTATTTGTAACAGCCAAAACGAATCGAGAAACACTGAAGAGCGAAATTGGACCTTTAGAACGGAAAGTTAAATTTGTGGTAATGTACTTTTTCAGTTTATTAACTTTATGGTAATTCAAATTTACGTTTCGCCGAAACGTTTGACAATAAAAATTTTAGGATTCGCATATGAAAGCTCAGAAAAAATTACCGAATAAAAATGAACTCGATTGTTCCAGTTTTGCAGTGGCAAAAATACATTGATGTTTTCTTTGATTCGATGCATCGAAATGTACATCGATATTTTTCGATGCATCGAAGGGCACATACTTCGATGCATAGATTTGCATAGGATTTTTCAGATAATGTTTTACAACAAAATATGTTATTAGCAAAATTGTACAAAATTTGAAATAAATTACTGCAACTGAGCGAATTGTGTTTCTAACGGAACTTTATGAAGCCATTTCAATTTGTTGGTCAAAGTCACTTCTCTTTTTTGTATAATTGAAAAAACTGGAATGACGCACAGTGCCGTTTAAGTGGGCATAAATCGAAACATTCGTTGTCTGCAATGTGAACGTGTTTGGTATTTTTGTAAAGGTAATTTATCCACTAAGAAGAATAAAATAGAAATCTCCTTATAAAATTAATTATATGCCGCCAGGAAGCCACTAGTGCACTTAAGTCGACAAATTTTATACTAAGAATTACATTAGCTCTTCACGGAAATAAATATCAAAAATACACTGCTTGAAATAAAATGATGGTTTGACGTTTTTTATTTTCTTATATATAGTAGATAACTACAAGAATCGAAATTTTGGAAAAAATTAAACACAGGGTGTCCTTACGGAATTCCAGAAAAAAAATTTTGTTAATAAAAATTTCAAAAACGGGCACTTTTAATGGAATGAATAAAAAATATATGTAAAAATAGGTTATTTTTTATAACTTATAGTACGGGTTTTTAGCTTCCAACATGGAAAATAAAAAGCTGCTCATTTTTTACGCTTTTTAAAATAATGCGTTTTTGCTAATGCATAAAATCATCTTTTCATTTCTTGTTCGTGCCATAAGATACGCACGAATCGCTAGATTTTCAAAACCGAGGTGTCAGATTAAAAAGCTTGGCCTGTAGATTGAATATGAAGGTTTACTTTTTTAGAGTTGCCACCTGTTAAAAAATTAAATTCTAATTATTTAGTAAGTTAAATGAATTATAAAAATATTGGTATCGACCGAAATGGGTGTAAAAAGGGTTTATTTCTTAACTACATTCAGCAGGGTTGCCACCTGTTTAAAAAATCTAATTCCATTTGAATTAAGGGAATTAGGTTATTGAAATACATAGGTATCACCATATGGGAGTCAGAGGTTTAAGAAGGTTACAGCTTACAAACATTTTGAAGAGGGTTGCCACCTGTGTGTAAGGTTAAATTTAAATAATTGCGTCAAACCAAAGGTTTACGACATCGTATTTGTTATTTTATAACAAATACATACATTATCAATCAGTGATTTGTTCTGACTACATTTCTTTAAAATTACTGGACTCTTAAATTAACCCAGGAATGTTTTTACTCCTCACTTATTTCTTGGTTAATATGTCCAATTTTTTTCTTGTGTCTAATATCAATAATGATATACATATTTCAGTTACCCTATTCCCTTAATTAAACTGAAACTGATTTTTTAAACATTTGGCAACATTTCTACGTATCGTTTAGAAGTAAAGCATTTTCA